TATACAATCGCCTATTTTATATTCTCTATTCTGATTTATTCATCATTTTGTCTGTCAAACAATACCACAGTATCTCAACAACTTTAGACATACAGCAAGGTTTTCTATGTACTACAATGTCTTAGAATTTCTATTGCTATGATAAACACCATGACCAAAAGCAACTTGGTCTTACAACTTATAGCTTATAGTCCATCATCCAGGGAAGTCAGGGTAGGAACTCAAGGCAGAAACTTGAAGACAGAACCTGATACAGAAACTATAGAGGAGTGATGCTAACTGGCCTGTTCTCACGCTTGCTCAGCCTGCTTTCTTATAAGCACCCAGGACCACGCCCAGTGGATGATGCTGCCCACATCAGTCACGAAAATTTACAGGCTTCCTCACAGGCCAGTCTGATGGTGGCATTTTGTTTATTGAGGTTCCCTCTTTCCAAGTGGATATAGCTTGTATTAAGTTGGCATAAAACCAGTCAACAAATGCAGCAAGATATCCAACATAGTTTCCTATCTGAGAGGTTTTAATGTCTGATTCTGAGCTTCTGATACTTCTGCCTCAGTCCAAGTTCTAGGGTGACAAGTGTGTGTTGCCATACAGAGGACCATGTTAAATTAACAATTAGTTTATTACTATTTTTAAAAAACTGCTGGACTTTCATTGAGGTTAAATTATTTTTTAATTAATTAATGCAGTACTTAGACCTAGGAATATTTTTTTCTGTAGCTCTCTGTTGATTTCACGCTTTTAAAACTTGTCAGTGAAGGTGCGGCTTCTGACATTCCCAGGACACACAATCTCACGGCAAACTGTGGCATCCTCTGGCTCCTACAGTCTTCCTGTCCCTTTTTCTGGAATGTTACTAGGTGCAAGAGTTGTATTGGCATGTGACCCACAACTCTGCGTCTTGATTGGTGCAGTTTTCTGTAATGGTCTCTGCAGCAAAGAGAAGTTTCCTTGATGAGGGGTAAGAACTACACTTATCTAGGAGTATAAGGGCAAGGAACATACACACAAGGAACGTTATATAGACTGAGCAGGTTGTATTGATATATTTAGGAATATATCTATACATATATGTACATAAAAAACAATTGATGAAAAAGAAGCCGTGAATATGAAGGAGAGAAAGGAAGGTTATATGGGAGGGTTTGGAAGGAGGAAAGGGAAGAGGAAGATTATGTAATTCTATTACAATCTCAAAAATAAATAAATTTAAAAATATTTTAAAGACTTCTCATCTTGCATATCTTTTAAAGTATTTTATATAATTGTACATTTTATTATCTAAGTATTTGTTATAAATAATTAAGTGAATGTCACTTAGAAGCACAACTGATTTTTAAAAATAATATCTTTATATCCAGCAGCACATTTCAAACTGTAATATTTTACCAATAGATTGTCTTAAGTATGTATCTTTTAAAGTATATGACTATTTCATCTATAAATGTCACTTGCTGTTTTTATTTTATGTCTAAATGTTCTGCTTAGAATCTTCAGTTTGATGGTGAATAAAAGTTAGGGACAATGAACATCTTTATTCTTGATCCTGGATGGCAGACTTTAGCGTTTCACCACTAAGTATCATGTTTGGTTTATAGTTATCATTAAATCTAATTCTTTAATTAAAACTTGTGACTGAATTCCAGTTGTTTCAAAATACTTTTCTGCATATCCTAACATGATCAAGTGATCTTCTGCATTATTTTGTTAATGTGCTGAATCACACTAGTTATACTTCTAACTTCAAACCATTGTATTAACTGCTGAATGACAGGTTTAAGGGTGGACTGCTACATGTCCTCTGCCCGGGTGTATTAATTGCTAATATGCAGCCCCACTCTCTTTCTCTCTCTCTTCTACTCTTGTCCTTCTTACTTCTCGGCACATAAAAATATGTATTTCTATGACTTCTGGGAAGCAAAAATGCAGAAATCTACATGCCATATCGATTTTTTTCTTTCCATTGTAGCTTCTGGTACCTCCTGGGATTCAGGGAGGAGAAAATATGAGAACAAATTACTCATGGTCATTCAACCTCCCTATGACTCATCTTTTTACCACCCTATTCTAACTGTGTGATTCTAACCCAGCTAGGGTCCACAGCGCTGGGTCCTCTCTGTTGAAGATCCAGAAAAGACCCAGTGGGTGACCTGCCTAGAAGCACCTGTATCTACTTGATGCCAAAGGTGTCCAAGCGCCTCACCTTACTCTAATAGGGTGTCAGCACCGGGGGAAGGGGTTGGGAGGAGGGGTTCTGGGTTTGCAGCTACAGGAACTACTTGGGTGAGGATGAGTGGGAGGGTTTTGAGTACAGAGATTCCAGCTGGAGATAGAATGGAATAGACTTCCTGACTACAAAGGCGAAGCTGAGGCTTCCCAGCAGGGAGTAACAGAACAAGACTGTTTGGGGCTTCTTTCCTTTTGATTGCTCTGTTCATTGACAGCAAAGGAACCAAGCATTTAAAGAGGGAAGGGAAAATGCCATCAAATAGCAGAT